ATATAGTTTATTCTCACTAATAATATCCTCAGTTAAATGCTGAAACATGCTGCATTTTTACACTCATGGGAAAATACTTTTTTTCTCTTTTACTTTTGGTAGCATAAGTTTTGATCCATTGGCCTTAATGTAAATCAGCAGATGAATTGAACATGTTAAACTGAGGCTTGCTGAAGAGTGAGCAATCATTCAAAAAATAAACTGAAACTAAAAAGACTACAGCTAAGTGCACCTGAAGGATAGATTTTTCACCTAATATTTGTGTTGTTCTTTTTGTCCAACTTTAGGATCCAGGTTTTGGATGGTAATCTGTTCTCTGGGCTCTCCAAGTTGACTACCTGTGAACTTTACACAAACCCTTTCAGCTGCTCTTGTGAACTTCTGGGTTTCCTGCGCTGGCTCTCAACTTTCCCCAACAGGACCAGTGAGAGGATGGTGTGCGACACCCCTAAAGGATTGTCTGGATACAACTTAATGAGTCAGAGTCCTTTCATGTCCACCCCACGCAACGCTCTGTATGCACTCATCGCTGCTTGTGATGATGGCAGCAGCAGTGTGACGCCTTTTTACGTCATTGACCTTACCACCCAGTTGCCAGATATTGTCTCTCCCTGTGGACTAGAAGATTGTGCTTCTGGGACCCCTCCTGATGAGATAATCAGCTCAAACCCCATCTTCCCAGATTCCAAGCCAGTCATGACAGTTAAACAGGTCCAAACTTCGAGCTATGTGTTAACTGTTCAGATTCCTTACCCATACAAAAAAATGTACATCCTAATGCTTTATAACAACAGCTTCTTCACAGTCATTCAAAATCTAAAGAATGAAAAAGAAGACATTGAGCTAAAGAACCTAAAGCCAAACACTAACTACACATACTGTGTGGCTTCTATACGAAACTCCCTACGCTTCAACCACACCTGCCTGACCATCCCCACTCGTGGCAGGGCTGGAGTAGAGAAGGCACCCAGTCAGTCATCTGCCACCCACTATATCATGACTATTTTGGGATGCCTGTTTGGCATGCTACTCTTCCTTGGCCTTGTTGTCCACTGCCTAAGGAAAAAAAGGATCATGGAAGAGAAGGAGAGAAAGATGAACAGGATCCAGAGGACTTTGATAGAGCTCAAGTATGGTGGAGAGGGAGATATAGAGGGAGGTAGTGGGGGGTCTGTTTCACAAAAGCTTGCTGCAGGAGACAGCCTGTCCAGAATGCCCTATCTGCCCCAGGGCAGTGAGATAGATCCATACAAGCTTCAGGAAGTGATAGAAACACCAGGTCACAAGTCTGCCAAACTTAACTACATGGAGGTTAGAGGCTCTGGCATCGAAAAGGAGAGGGAACGAGAAAGAGAGATGTCACCACAAGAAAATCCCCAGGGCTCAGTTGCAGAAATCTCGACCATCGCTAAAGAAGTTGATAAAGTTAACCAGATAATTAACAACTGTATAGACGCTCTCAAGACTGAGTCCACATCCTTTCAACAAGGAATCAAGTCTCCTTCTTCAGCAGGTGGAGGCTCTGTTTCAACTGAAGAGCCGCAGCTTGTGCTTTTGTCTGAGCAAGGAGAAAGAGGAGGTGAGTTCCTTTCCCCGGTGTATAAAGGAGGACGAGGAGCAAGAGAAGAAAGGGGGCGGAATTACCATCACACATTGCAACGACACCATAGCATGGAAGCTCCCCCAACTTCCAAAAGGCCAAGCACCTCCTCATCTCCTGGCTCTGCCCGGAGTCCTCGCTCCTTCCGCTCAGAGGGAGGGTACCACTCATCAGAGTCCCGGTACATTGAGAGAACCTCGCCTGGGGAAAGAGGAGGCGGCGGAGGAGAGGCCATTCGTACCATCAACCCAGCTGCAGCAATTTTACGAGCTGAAGCCCAGAGAATCCGCCAGTACAACGAACACCGCCACTCCTATCCTGGCTCCCAGCAGCATCTTCAGGAGCTGCAGCACCACCCACAGATCCTGCAGGAGCTCCATCACCACCCAGGTGCCCGGAAACCCTCTGTGCTAGACCCCCACACTCTCAGCAGACAGGCTAAGCAGCGCGAGTTGGCCTACTCCCAGCTTTCACCACATTATCCCCTCTCACCCCAATACCACAATCTTAGCTACTGCTCCAGTCCTGAGGAAGATGAGGAGGAGGAAGAGGGTCTCCTATGCACACCTACCCTAGGGCTCTGGGAGAGGTTCAAACTGCACCGTAAGAGGCACCGGCAGGCCTCTTTGGAGGATGAAGGATATGTGGCAGCTGGACACGCATTGAGACGAAAAGTTCAGTTTGCCAAGGATGAAGATCTTCATGACATACTGGACTATTGGAAGGGTGTGTCTGCCCAGCAGAAAGCTTAAATTCATGTTTGAAGACCCCAAAATCATGAACAACCAACACTACATTCATTACATATCGATACGGATACACAAACATTTTTATTAAAGATCTGTAAATATACATAAACACACATAACTTACAAGATCCACTGAGCGACATTGCACATACATGTTTACACACACAAACACAAAAAACAGCCTCATACTTTACACAAACTAAGCCTTTTCCCTCCCAGAACATGGATGAGGACCAAACAATTATATTATCTTGATCAAAAAAATAAATACATTATTGAGACTGAGTTATTTTTTGTAATGTAATGGAAACTATAGCTAAGACTTATGTAGCTATTTGTAAGTTTTGAATGGATAGAAATAGAATCAATATTAAGAATAGAAACCTTAAATGTTGATGGAAAACCCATCCTGAACGGCCGACTGATGCTTTTGATTTTGCTGCAGACATCATCAGTTTTGGTCGCTGCCGGTGAACCTCCCCAAGCACAGACACCCTGATAAAGCTGATTGACGAAGAATAGCTTTGCTGGGGAAGGTTTTTGTCACGTTGCCATCTGCGACATGCAGAAGAGCAGACATTTTGAAAATATTTCTGACATTTCAGAGATTAAAAACATCAAAACAACTCATTCTGGATGGGTCACCAGACAACAGTAATATCTAACTGTGCTGAGATTACGTAGGTAGCTCTTACCGGAGAGTGAATATTATGTGCCAAATCAACCGAGGGGTAGTAGAGCCCTACTGTGTACTAACTTCTTCTCACCACTGTTTTTATATACAGGATTTTAAAAAAGTATATTATGTTAATATATTTGATTATTCTTATTCTCATTACTGGTATTATTATTATTCCTATGCGCCTCATCATTATAGTTTTATTATTTGACAATGGCATGGCTATATTGTGTGACCGTGTTTTATTTTGACTGTTTTTGAATCTCTCGACAAGAAAGTGCACAAAATAATGAGACAAACATTACAATATAAGAGACATTTGCATCCTTCGTTTCCACCAAGAGGAATGTGCTCTCTCTCTCTTCTGAGCCAAAAAAACAAGCCGGCCTTTTCTCTTGGTGAACCTCTAACACATGTTCCTCATCCTCCTAAAGGGTGACCGCTGTACAAATGACAGAAAAGTTCTATATTTGCAACAGAGGTGACTGTTTTGTTTGTACTACATGGTTTTTGAAATCTTTCAGACTTTTCAGAATTCTGAGTCCCGTGTTCAGTACCTACCTTCTCGCTTAAACTGGTACGTTTTTGATTTTGAAATTGAACAAAAAAAAATTATCATCTTGATGAATGTCTTCAATTCCCACAAGGGAAGTATAACTGCACTGTTCAAAATCATAAAACGACCTTTAGGGAAAAACCTATAACTCTCAGCTTCCTTTTTGATAAACTGTAGGTTCCACTGTGTTTTATGAACATTTACATTTTCTTCCCAAGTTTTTAGCTTTTTTGGACTCCTCTGGTTCCACTGTGGTGCCATAGTGCCAACTTGATCAATCACAAGTATTTGAACCTCTTCTGCGTCACATCAGTACATGTCAGTTTGCCAAACCCAACTAGAATTTGCACAAGAAAATACACTATCACTGGCTCACTGATCCCCTTAAATCATTTTCTAAGACCAAAGTACTGTGGTAGTAAATTGATTCCCAACCCCCCCATACACATCACCATAACCAGGACCCGGTTATAGAGGCTGTTCAGCTCATGTCAGAAAATCATGTGATCTCTGTTTAATACGCTGTAGGATACCAAATTATCTTTGTTGTTTGTTAGTCACTTCATGAGATTCTTGACAACAAATCAGAGAAAATGTTATCACACTCTTAAAAATTGTGTCAGAGGAGCAAACTAAATCATCATTGCCGCAAAAATATCCCAGAACAAAGGTCTAAATGGATTGCTGCATGATGCTACTAGCTACACAGCCACCTTGGGTGAACTTTCTAAATACATTTAGATTAGAAGAAGTTAACAAAGTGTTGATAATAGAGAAATGTTCCTTTTTTTGGTGGGAAAACTATATAATTTACCCTTAAAATCCTTAATTGGCATTTGCATGATCTCTAGTGAAGGATCTGCCAGACTTGAGCTACATGGCCTTTGCAACTACAGTAGTTCGTCAATTATCAGGGGTTACGTTCCACACACCACCGCGATAGGTGAAAAACTGCAAAATAGTAACGCTATACTTATTTTAGCATTTATATATATTTTAAGGCTTTATAAACATATCCCACACTCTTGCAATGTTCTAAACTCTTAAACTTATATAATTTTAACAACATACGTATATATTGTACAGTACTGCAAAATTTTACTCACCAGCTCTGCAGACCAGCAGCTCAATTCCAGTTGGGCTCGGTTCTGGTTCTGTAGACCTGCCCTGCAGCGACGAAGCCAACCGCCCCGTTCAGGTTGATGTGTGTGGATAATTGAGCTTCAGGATTATTTGTGTCTTTTCTGCCAGTTCTGTGAGCTTCATAGAGAGATCATTACTTCTGACTTTGAGTTGCAAAACTTTCCTTCCATTTTGGCAGAAAGCAGTGGCCGGAAGCACTGTTGGTTTCTGGGAAGTGTATTTCTTTTGACTTGCATTCCATCTATCCATCCAGCCAGCCAGCCAGCCATCCATTCAATTCAATTCAATTAAAAAATACAAAGTACTTTATTAATCCCAAAGGGAAATTAATTGTTGTTGTAGCTAATCATCCTTAGAGTTGTTATAGATGCTGATGGCTGTGGGCAGGAAGGATCTGCAGCAGTCCATCCCACAGCAGATCTGAAGAAACTGGCTGCAGATGCCGATCCGTCCACCCAGACTCAGCAGACCTCTTGGTTCTCTTGGGCAGCAGGACTGCATGAAGGCCTGGCAGAACTCCTCCTGGAGCGATGGCCATTTCTCCCAGCAGCCTGCTGAGCTCCTCGTCGCCGCAGACTTTAACTGCAGGTGCCGGGATACAATCTCGGCCCTCCCGATGTCATGAGCCGCGTTTCCAGCTACCTCCAAGATCTCGGCAGTCAGGCACTCGAGCATCGCCTCCAGGTAGACGGGAATGCATCCATGGTGCCTCCTGTTCAACTCATTTGGGATTTTGGGCTGCAGCTGAGGTATTATATGAGCTTTTGAGATGTTAATCAGCTGCTCACAGTTGTAGAAAACCACCTTGTTGTCATGGTTACACATCATAACAAACGTCCAAAAGCAAAAAAGGTTTCAGTAAAAATCCTTCTAGCGGTACAGCATCTGATACCAGAGGAAGTAATCATCTGAAAAAAGCCATTTACATCCAGTAAAAAGAGGAATTAAAGTTTTCAAAAGCAAAATCACAAAATGAAGGTAAGAGAGCTACTCCAACATGCAGCCACCTTGAGCGGCGCAATTCTGGAACAACATCCATCCATCCATTATCTTTATCCGCTTCTGGTCACGGGGGTCACTGGTTCCCATGTCCAGCCATCACTGTGCGAGGGGCGGGGTACACCCTGGACAGGTCTCCAGTCCATCACAGGGACACACAGAGACAAACGAGACAAACAACCATTCTCTCTCTCACTCACATCTAGGGACAATTTAGAGTTACCAATCAGCCTAACATGCATGTTTTTGGTCTGCTGGAGGAAACCAGAGTACCTGGAGAAAACCCACACATGCACGGAGAGAACATGCAAACTCCACCCAGAAAGGCCCTCAGACCATGATTTGAACCAGGGTAACCTGCTCGCTGAGAGGCAGCAGCTCTACCAACTGCACCACCGTGCTGCCCTGACTTGCATTACAGTATAGGCCTAATGAAAGAAAACTACAAAATAGTGGCGCCCGTCCGAAGTATTGTTTTTTTTTTGGTTAACTTTTTATCCCGTACCATCCCAATCATGTGAGTAATATTAAAGGTGACAATCATTGAAAAACCGCGAAAGAGTGAGTCCATAAATTTGAACTGTGAAGTAGCGAGGGACTACTGTGCATCTGTTTGGAAGGTACCAAACAAGTTTCCTCCTCAAAGGCAAGATGACTTGAGTGTTTGCCTACTGTATATTTAGGCATATTAGACCCAACCAAGGTCCTGTACGTGGATAAAATATTACAATACTATTGTAATGTGCATTTACTTTACCCTAGCACATAAACTGAAGATAGAAAATTCATGTAGAAGCAACTTCAATTTTAATCATAACACTCCACCTTTGGGTTTCAAGTGAGGATTTTGCTCTTGCATGCCTGACAAGCACTGAGAGTTAAAAACAGACTTGTGCTTTTCACGGGGGTTTCAGCGGTCGTTGTTAAAATAAGAATGAGTGATAAATCCACCAAGAATAAACAAAATAAATTAAGCATTTTGCAAAATAATAAACATCGGTCTCTGGAAACCAGTCTGCAGCTGTCTTTTTAGATCTTAGTTCTGGGTTGTACTTCGTAAATTGATGGTATGGCATTTTTAGTTTGTCTCCTTAGTGATTCATAACCGATTGTTGAAAATGAGATAACCATTTAGACGATTATAGAGGGAAATTGTGTTTTATTTTTAATTATGTGAGCAATGAACTGACAAAGTACATTAAGTTGACCGCTAATAGGCAGGTAAACATAGCTTACGTGAGCTTCTGACGTGTGCCGGATGGGCTCTATGGAGCCACCATCACACTTGCAGTTACCACATTAGCACACACCCACACATCCAGTCGTATTCATGTTCATGCAAAGAGATGAATGTATTCTTTGATAAGTTATCTCTGTTGTGCAGCTGGATTCTGATGTACGAGCAGAAAAGTTTTTGTTTTCCACTCGTTTTCTCTTTGACAGAGAACATTGTTTAGATTGCTACATGTGCTTCAGAACCGGAGGTAAATAAAAGAACGATTGGCTTTTTTACAAAATGTATTTTGACCAAATTATAATGAATGAAAAAAAAAAAAAAACAGTCACTGCAGCTGTTTTTGTACAAGTGTTGACAATGAGGTTTTATGTGAAAAGTGTTAAAAGTCAAATGTAATTAGTATCACTTGTGTGGTGAGAAGATGCTATGTGTAATATATCAAAAATATCTGCAGGATTTAGGCACTGGAGGAAAAATAAACATGATCATGTGCTATACTGTTGAATAATAGACACAAAACTTTATC